TTTATTCCCAATAAAAGATGAAACGTCTCTCGAAAAGTTTTTAAATTATGTCTTAGTAGCCCCTACTCTGTCATAGCTACCTACCATCTCCTTTGCCAAGTTGTACGAAGAAACTGGACCAATGTTTGCATTCGAAAGCTTCATAGTAAAATATTGTTGTGAATAACTCATCTTTCTATTCGAACGTAGTAAATACTCATCCTCTGGTAAAACAAGGCAATGGTTGTGTTCTTCCACAAACTTATACACTTCATAACAATTCCCATGTACAACATGAAGCTTAATGCAAGCAGGATAAGAACTTCGGAATTCAGGTCTCCTACGTTTGTCTTTCTTAGAAGTTCCTTCCAAGGTATTATATGATGCTCTCTTCTTCATACCTTCTTTGCTACAAACAAAGAACTTTCTTAGCACAATTCCTTTCCTATCCGTTCTTTGTGTAGACTTTCTAACATCAAAACCTGCTGCTGAAGAATACTTTTTGTAAGCCTCAAATGCATCTTTCAAATTTCCAAACTTTGTTCCAACAATAGGCTTAAACATATCCCCTACATCTGGTGTCCAGGTCCTTGATTAATATGGTGAAGAGACATCATTGTTATCCGACTCTTCCGTTAAATCATCATTTAAATCTAAGAAACAACAATTACAAAATTTATAGATTTGTATAATATACAACTTTTCATTTAAATATTGCAATGTAAAATTTTATGTGTTTACCATCACCAAAAACATAATTCGAACTGTCAAAAGAAAACTTCACAAAACAAAAGGAATAGTTAAAACAAGTTTCTTGAATTTTAAAGAAGGGGTGGGTTGTTAATTAAATATCCAAGGATTTATACTCTTCATAAAGCAAAAGGAATAGTTAAAACAATTATAGACGGGTTATGGTCATGGTTATGTATGGACATGGCTATTGTGAAGCAAACCATGACCCGCCCAACATCCTTCACAGCATGCCTGTTGTGAAGGTTCAAAGAAGACAGGTAAAACAAACAGGTATACAACTTTTCTATACAAACTGTAGATATATATTCTCTTTTTTATTACTAAATAACCATGTTTGGCTCCTAGTTATGGTCATGGCTAGTGTGAAG